ATGGATCATTCTTTTAAGATAAAAGTTACAATATTCTGATTTTGCTACTCATTCTCTTGTGTTTCCTTTTTAAAAGATTTCTCCCTTGCTTTCCTGATGCAATTCAGTGACAGCTGGTCTGACATGCTTTCCTCTTGCTTAGGAGCTATGATAAAAGCAGCTCTGATAGCCTGGATCTTCATTTCAGCAGAACACTGTAACACTGCCTACATATTGTGTATCCAGCATCCACCACTCTTACTTCCCAGAATGGAATTAGGTCACACATGGGACACACTGGGAATTCATAATGCAGAATCCCATCTCAGCCTTGAACCCCTTACTTTGTGTCAAATGTCATTCAATAGGCTCTGCTCCAAAACTCAGCCAGGAAGTGCTATTTCACATCTTTTTATGTCTCAATCCAACTTTAGTTGGGAAGTAGAATAGGAAGCTTTATGTGGAAACTTGTGAATTAATAATGCAGTAAAAAAAGGGCTTGGCATGAACAGAGCAACTGAAGCCAACTGTTGACTTTGATGGAACTACCTCACCACTTGAACTCTAATGGTAACTAAGGAATAATATATTGAGTGCTATTAAAAAATGAAGACAAAATCCTGCTTATTGAAACAATGCAGCTTTTCTCATCCGATTTCCAAGAACAGCCTGTATGTAAGGAAATAAGCAACTGCAAGAGACATTGCACAAATGCACACAACTCTTGGCAAGTAAAAGGAGATCATCTGGGCTTATTTCACCCTTATGGAAAGTCCACAATCTTTTTGCTATTATTTTGTCAGAGGGAGTTTTGGTATTAAAACAATCCCAATCCTTTCTTTAGTAAGTTGTAATGAAACGCTTGTGTGAGCTACCAAGAATAATTTGATGTGTTCAATCCGATTTTCCAGTGAATAACCTTCCTGTCTAAAAGAAAATCAGACTCTTTACGAGGACTAACTGACATCCTTGTTATCAGCCTTTATGGATTTAATATGCTGAGCAGAGAAGAGCAGCTGGGAAAAGGTTGGAGAAAACATTCAAAGACTTGGAGTCCACTGGGGTGAAGCACTTCAGTAGAACAGCCTGGAAAGGATGCCACTACTTACCCCACGTCAGTTCTCTGGAAAAAGAAACAGCTCTGGCTTCTGCATCTGTTAGTCTGGCACCTTCAGCAAGTAATTAAATCACACTGTAGATTTGTATACATACTTAGATAAATAATAAATGACAGCTATCACACTGTCATGCAAGCATGCATGCATACCCAGGGCAGGAAATCACATACAGCATTTCATTTGTTGCCAATTTATCTCTAACACAGTGAGGAAGATGCCCTAGGGACTGGTGACTAACAAGGAGCATTGTTTATGCTACAAATCCCATCCGGTTATTAGTCTTTGAAAAGTGTTTTGTTTAGCTTATCAGCGCTTCAGCAGGAATGCCAGGGGCATTATTTTTGTAGTAAGTGTATTTCTACTCCAATATTACTGACTCCCACTCAACCTCTCCATAAGAGGTTACGTGTTACTTGAGGGCTGAAAATTAGGCACGTGCTTCAATGCCTTCTTGAATCAGGATCAGGGTAGTTAGCACTGCACAAAACCAAGGTCTTGACAGGTTTCCTTATTAATTTTGCTTCAGTAAATTGGAGAACATCTTTGTAGAAATCAAGCCTTTCTTAAGGACTACAGAGCATGACAAAGAATAAATACCTTATGAAATATATATGCTGATAAATTAAAAGTATTTTAACAAGTTAGATCTGCTTAATTTCTACATTTTGCTTGCTTCATTGGATGATACTGTGTTACTCAATCTAATTCTACACTTCTGCAATACCAAAGTATCACAGGCATCTGGCAAGTTTTAAGCCTCTTTCACAATAGTACTACAGTTAATCGTTTGTCCACACAATTGATAGGCTGCTATTTTTTCAGGTTATCAAAATACCTGTAGCATGCCCTTGATCAAGTTAATATTTAAAAATAGTAATGCAATATTTTTATTACATTCAGGTATCTTTTTCGTTCATACTAAATATCTTCCAGGACGAAAATTTAGAGTTGCTTTTGTTTGTTTTCCCCAGGAGACCCCTGTTGTTTTTTTTAAAGTAGACTTGCTTTATTGAAGGGAACAAAAAACCCACCTCACATTTCCTTCAAAACCTTATTTAGAACATTTGAGAGACTTGCCATCGGGCAAGTAAGTTAATAATTGACAATGACACCCAGCAGGCCTGCATGAATGATTCCACACCATAACACTGACAGCTGGCATAACTTACTGAGCTCCTCTCAAACATTTCTGCAAAGAGGAATGGTAAGCTAAATTTTATGTGCATCTTCTGAACCAAGGCAGGAAATGTTTATTATAATTGTTATACATAAATAATTGAAATAATATTAGTACTTTTAATCATTAAATTACTTTTGGAAAATTTGTACAGGTAAATTCTCCTTTGTAAAACAACTTATTCTTATTTTACTTGTGATCTAATTTAATATTTTTGTCAAATAAGGAACTGTCCAGTGTATCATCACTGATCATCTCAGTTGTTCTGTAACCAAGGCAAGGAGCAACTGCTCACCTATCACAGGAAACAGTTCTGTTAATTGCTTTCTCCATTTAAATTCCTTCTCTTCAAACATGTCAACTCATCAGTGATGCTTTAAAAACATCGCTGTGGGAAAACTGAGAAATACAGTGAGCTGAGCTGCATTGAAGAAAACGTTTTTACACCTAGGAGCTTCTGGCTTTATAATCAATGATATGATTACTGTGATTCTGTGATTTTGTGTTTTTCTTTTACATACAAGTATGAAACTTTATCAAATCTAGTGACAACATGTAATGCAGGCTTGATTTTGTTCTACCGGAGTTTTCTGAAATACTCGGTTTTTATTTTGAGCCAAAAGCTGTATCCAGATTTGAAAAGACCTCTTCCTTCCCCTGTTCCCTCCTTCCCCCCAGAAAAAGGGATTCTGTCACACAGGGAACTTCTGTTTTGAAGGGCTCCGAAGCCTGAGCTCTGATCAGGTACTTCCATGGGAGTTCCACCCCAACAGCCAAAACACCTGTGGTGCTCACTGACAAAAGAAAAACATGAAGATCTGATTGTAGCAGAACTGAAAGCTGCCTAAAATGTTAGCAGAAGTGACAGTTTTAATTCTGCTGTTTCTGGATTACATGTTGAATTAGTGTATGAGAGGAAGATCCCTAGAAGTCTTTTATTTTGGGCCCAGTCACACTAAATGTTGTATTTTGTTATGACCATTTAGTGCCATCAAGAACTAACAGGCACAAGACACAAAATGCTAGCTGCCATAATCACTGCTTCAATCTCCAATTCAATCTTCAATTCAAATATTCCAAGGCTGGCTCAAGATTTTGGAAGGGGTAAGATTTATTCTGGCAGATAAATATCTATCAAATATTGACTGTCTTCTATCAGGTCCATCTGGACAGTCCTCCTATAACCAGCACAAAGCCATCTCAAACACAGTTCCAAGCATTTGAACTAAATACATCAGAAAACTGATTTGCACAAAATCTATTCAGATAATGAAAGATTCAACTTGTTTTTCCTAGCTTATCTACTTGAGACAAGAATAAGGCACTGACATCTTTGTTGAAGGTGACTCAAAACACTTGATTACTGTAAAAGTGTCCCCACCAGGTCACACCAGGGCCACTTAGCTCTCTGTGCTGCAGTGGATATTCACAGAAGAATAAAGGAACAGGCAGTTTTATGAAGCTTCCCCAGAATGCTCTTTCATTCTCTAGCAATGTATTGTTTGCTAACTTCCTCAGACAGAGGTACCACCTTTGTATTTAGCAGCGCTCAATGCCCAGTACCTATTCAGATTCAGAATTCAGATTCAGTACCTATTCGGATTCAGAAATTCACAGCATCCATAATAAGCACACTCACTGCTTAATTATCTATATAAAGAAATGCCTATTTCTTCTCATGGAACCTAACACTTGTCAGTCACATCATGAGAGCTGGACAAATTTCCCACATTGCTTCATTCAGTAAGAGAAAGATTACAAGAAAATGAAAGTCGCTGCTTTGTGACATTCAAATGATTTTTCTTCATCTCTACATGCAGATATTCTTCATTGGGTGTCACTATCAGAGGATCACTGTCTGTTTCCTTGCTGTAATTCATAAAGCCCTAACTTTCATGCTCTGAGCACAGAGCTTCTCAACACTTGGCTGACGAGGAGCTTACCTCAGCAGAACTCGTATCATAGAGCAACACAGTAACATTCAATTTGCCCATTTTCTGAATAGTACAAACTCTGTTCTGTAGACTTGCCCACATTAAGTCAGTAGAAGATGAATCATCTGGAAAAGTTATAATCATTCGTCCCCTAGGAATCATGTAGCATGTTAATTGCTGTACAACACATTCTAATACAAAATACACAAGTAGTTTCAACTTGTTGAGATTGCAGAGGGCAAGAGTGCTGCTCATAATTTCCATCACTTATAGTCTGGGAATGCCGGGTTTCCCTTGACTCAAGATCTGTTACATAATCAGAAACACGTTTGCTTTGTTGTGAGACAAAGAAATGTGCACAAAGAAAGTATGTTAGTACTTTACAGAAATAGCATAGCTACCTAATCAGTTTATGTAATATATGCATGCGTATACATATGTAACATGTTTGCAGACACAGAAGTTGCAAACTGCAAGCAGTTCCTCAGCTGACACGAACTATTACAGTTTATATCAGTTGAAACAATTCACTTCTTAATCTGTGTTAGTACTGCATAGGAAAGCAAAATACAGAAATGTTCAGTGCTTATGAAGTTTAGAAAACATTGTGTCAGAAGGTATTTGCCCAGAGGTCATTTGTCACTCTACTAGACTTGACTTACCTCTGACACTAGTCCTTTCTGTAGGACTACACAAATTACTTTTGCCCAATTTTCACTATCTGCTGAGGTAACTATTAGTTGTGCCAACACCTCCATTTAGCTTCTGTGATTCTTTGCTAATTCATAATAAATGATATTTATTGAACTGACTGTCAATCGCAATAGTAATTTACTGAAGACTGCACTACTTCTCTTTCAGGAATCACTCCAGGCTCAGCAACCTAGTAATCACAGTGACTTCAGCTGCCCCATCTGTCTCCAGACAGCGACTCTCCCAGTAGAAACCAACTGTGGACATCTGTTCTGTGGTAAGTTTTCTGGGTTGAAAGTACAGTGCTTATAAAGGCTACTAAATGCAGCACACTTCCCACAGAGATCTCAAATCCTGTGCAAGAACCATTCTAAGCACTTCTCCCAGTAATTAGAGTTATGAGGAGCAGCTGAGTCCCTAGGTTTTTCAGCCCAGAGAAGAGGAGGCTGAGGGGAGGCTTCATGGCAGCCTACATTTTTCCTCACAAGGGGAGCAGGAGCCAGCACTGATCTCTGACAGCAGCAGGATCTGAAGAAAAGGCACAGAGCTGTGTCAGGGGATGGTCAGCCGGGTTAGGAAAATGTTCTTCACCAGAGGGTGGTCAGGCACTGGAACAGGCTCCCCAGGACAGTGCCCATGGCTGCAAGCCTTCTGGCATTCTGGAAGCCTGTTTTTTAAAACAGTCTTAGACATATTTCATTTTTGGGTGGTGTTGTAAAGTGCCAGGAGTTGAACTCAATGATCCGTGTGGATCTCTTCCATCTCAGGATGTGTTTCTATGATTTCAGAAGTAAATTCCCTTACTAATACAAGAGAAGTTTAATCTTTCTATCACCAGGAAAAAATCACAATCTTTTTCTGTTTACTACCTTCATACTTACAAGGAGCCACTTTTGAAATGCCCAGGAAGTCACAAGACAAAAAGTAACATAATTTTGTAAGATTCTGTTAAATTACAACACAAACTCATGGAATAATTAAAAGGCCTAGAAATCCAAATAGTTTGTATTCAAGTATGTGGAAATGAACTTAGTTTCTCTCAGACCTCTGACATACATACTTCAGTGAGTTTACAGGTAAAGTTTACAACCTTACCGCCCCAGCTGCTTATCAAGTTCCTTGCTGAATGCTGTCGTCACCATTGCAAGGGGTGACAGTAAAGAACTGGAGTTTATGATCTGATGAGATTGAAATTGCTATTGAAGGTAGTTCAGTGCTCCTGTGCAGCATAACATCAGTAAACTCTGGCAGAAGGTCATGCAGGCTGCTGGAGGCAGTAATATCTGACATATCTGACTCTCCAGCAGCAAAATATATCGAAATGCACTAGGCAAAAACATAAAGCTCCTTTCTATGTTTTTCAAAGACCTTACAGCAAGTTTGATTTATAGTTATAAGCTATTGACAATTTCTTCATCATGTACAACTGTTACAAAAAGTCCTAAGCAGAAATGAAAACAAGGCCCTGTATTGTTGTTCATGTTCGTGCAAAAAGAATGAATTTTGTCTTGAGGAAGCGTCATTTTTTTTTTCTAGATTGAAATAATGCTCTTCCAGACCAACACTTCATCAACACTGCTAATATCTCTGTCCTCTGAAACAACAACAGACCAATGAGGTGGCAACAGCTATAGACACATTGTAGGGACCATCTACAACGTGCATGACACCATTTAATACTTCAGCTTTTCTCATGTTTTTATTACTACACATTGTTTTCTACCACACAGGAAAAGGATAGTTTAAACAAAACTCACTCCACAAGAAACAGTAAGCTTATGGCCTCCAAACATGTTTCAAGTAATATCATGTAAGCTGCCGTTTCAAATACAAAGATAGACATGATGACAGACATCATTAATTTTCCTCCTTCTCTGGCCTGGTTAATTTTTCCTTTCCCACTTATGAATATGACATCGTTACAATCAAAAAGGTCAGCACAGTGGAAAGGTGATAGAGAAGCATTACATCAAAGGGACTAGCATGGATGGAATGGTGTTACAAAGGAAAAGCACTCACCCATGCTCAAGGATCAAGGTTCACAGGAAAGACTCCACAAGGGAAGTCTCTCTCATCAGAGACCCTTCCTTGGGGCAGTCAGCCCTGAAATGAGGTCTGAGAGAGGTGCAGCCAGGCTCCACCCCTTCCTGTCCCACATGTGAACTGCCTTCACCTGTGCTCACAAGGCTGAGTGGGTCCTTTCCTCAGGTGCTCAAGCAGTGGTTCATGCTGTCACTCAACAGTTACTATACAGACATAATGAGTTGGGCCTTATTTTTGTTTTGCAATTTGTGGAGAAGTACCATCTATAAGCTTGGTATATGTTATCATTAACTGTATCTATTTAAATAGGCTTTACATTCCCCAAATAGATCATCATTTACACTCTGAAACATAAATTCCAGTGCAATGCTGCATTATCCATGCTCTGACTATGTTTATGTAGTAGAAGCATAACGTGTCTGTTTTTCATGTCTTAAACCTATAAAATTTTACATTGGGCTTATCAAAACCATTCTTCATAGATCTAAGTCTGTTGTGACTGAAATCAGTAACAAAACTTCTCCCAGTACCCCATGGAACAGAGCTAAGGCAATGCGGAGCACTCTTAATAAATTCCACTCTGATAAAAGTTTTATTTAAAAAATGTGGTCAACCCAGAGCTTTTAAAGAAGATTAATATGGACTTATATAAAAAAAAAATAAAATTATTATTAGTAGTAATTCATACAGTTTGTCCTGAAGTTTTCCTTTTCAGCTTCAGTTTGAACCATATGCTCAGGAAGTTCAATTGAAAAATGATCCTTGTGCAATATTATTTTTTCTAATTAACAAAAACCTCAAAGGTATTTTAGAAAAACCTATGGACTCCCTCAGAAGGTTGTGTAGCAGGCTAGATTGAAACAGGATTTTGCCCATTTTATGAAAAATGCACTGAAGCACAAATAGGTCAACTTCAGAGGAGTCCTTCCCTTCCTGTTCCACTAAACACAGGATTTTGCATGTAGCAAATTTTAATTTCCATGGGGTTCTATTTTTAAAGCCCTCAAAGAAATATGAGATCCATTAGTACCCCACTGTCATCACTGGGATTGAGTACAGGCACAATTGCGTGGCTCATGATACAGGATCTGGACCCAGAGGGTCAAAGCAGCTCCTGAAGTCAGGCATGATGGCTGTCAAATGCAAAAGTTCAAGCAAAGGCTTGAAGCTTGTTGCCAGACTGAGTTTATATATACCACATGAGGATTTAGATATAAACGCAGCCGTGTGCCCAGCTAACTTCTGTCTGTGCAAACAAACCAGAGGAGTCAGAAAGAAAAACCCTGCACTCAAATAAAAATAAAATGCACGAGTCAGAGCAAGGTTCATGAAAATATCCTTAGGGCAAATGTATCATCTCCAATATAGGGGTGTCCTCTTTAGGAGGTAACTGACAGCATGAACATTTTTTATACCTGACTTTGGACACATTTCTCCTCTAAAATCCTTCTTTTCAATGACAACGCAAAAGAAAGTCCGGGTACAGAAAAGGCTGCAGTAAGGGCTCCTGAAGACTTCCTGTTGTAAAACTTCTTAAGCTACTAACTGGTTGCTTTTAAAAACAAACACCATTGTTCAATCCAATAAAACAATTCCAACAAAATGGCAACGCAGTGTTCCACTGCTGCTTTCACTGTGATCTTTGTCAAATTTGACCAGTTTACATGTTAAGACATACTTTTTCTTGACTGTCACATAGAACTTGGGAGCTGAAAGTCAAGCTGCGCTACTTCTGACCAGATGCTATTTATGTTTTGTTGTTTTTGCTGTTAGTACCACCATTGATATTCATGTATGTCAAGCACTGCTATCAGGTACATGCACAGGCTTATGTTAGTGTCCTCAGACTCTGCCCTCTTCAACACCTGAGAGATTGGTGTTAAGATGGCACTGCATTTGGAAATTAGTTAGCAGTTGTTTTGGTAAATCAAAAAGAATGCATTGACTAACTTTTCCACAATGTACACACAGCACTGTGCAATGTATACATATATGTACACATACTGGAAGGGTACTTGTATTCCTGAGTGCTTCATCCACAAACAAGGAAGCTGCAAGAATAAGATATTATCCACTGTCAGAGTCTTTGTTAGGGGGAAGTTCCATGCTGCTGTATGTATCAACACAGATCTACAGCTCCATTTTTACAGTTTGAGGAGTAAAACTGCATCTTGAAATGAAAGCAAAGAATTACATCTTAAAATGAAAGTAAAAAATAACATCCATTTCTGCAATCAACTGTAGAAAGAACACTTATTAATTCTGATAACTTTTTATAAACATTAAATATCCTCAAATATACTCCATGCATCTTTTTTTTTTCTGTAGGTTCTTGTCTAATTACATACTGGAAACATAGTCCTTGGTTAGGAGCAATAATCTGCCCTCTCTGCAGACAGAAGGTAAGACATCTCCCCTGCATACATCTGCATTATAATAAATAGAAAATGACAAGCTTGATCTCTGAGGATCAACTCTATTCATCCTCTAATTTTCCATTGCATTTCAAAACCCACTTACAGTTGAATGACTCTGCAGCCAATCACATTTATAATTTGACACATCTTATCAGGCAAGAAATATTATACAGGCCTCTGGCATTTTACTTTTGTATAGTTTATTGAATCTCTGGGATAACATTCCGTAAAAAGCAATATGGGACATGGGACTCCCTCATCTCCGTTGACCACTGCCAGAGCCTGCCTGCTGTACTGGCAGGTTGGATGCAAGTCATAAAAGGAAGATGTTCTTGCTGTTGTGGAACTGCTGGAACTGTACAAAGGTCAATTTGTAATAGAGAGCCTATGAAGAGACGTGTGCTACAAAACACTATCCTTTATACTGAAGATTAAAATACACAGTGGTAATGCCTGTATTCTTTTCTTATGAAGGTGGTGGTTCTGGTTAACATCTCCTGTGAAAAGCTACACGATAAGCCAAGTAAACAGATTGTTCACGACATTAGAGCGTACAACAAGCGTTTCTCAGGGCAACCTCGACCTGTAAGTATTTCTAAATCTACATTTATGTAGTTAGTACTACATAACACACAGAGGATTGCAAGGGACTCAACAGTGAAAGATGGTTTGTCTCAGTATGTGAATTATCTTTTTATACACTCACTGATGATATTATAGGGGAAGTTTTAACATTCGCTGCTAGAGTCAGCATCTTCTAGTAACGGTGCTTCTCAGAGTTTCTAGCTCAGAGAGATCACTCTGCAGTCATCCTAGCAGGAAGGAGAAGGCAATGCAAGATGACACTTAGGAAGTGAAGCAGAATTAGAGAGAGTCAGTGAAAACTTTCACGTTTGAACTCATATTTGAACTCCAGGAGTTTAAATTACATCTAGGTCTTTGTTCCAAAGCAGATCCCAGCTTAGAAAGCAGCTGTAGGTTTTTTTTTTTACTGAGGCATTGCCAAATTCAAACAGTCTACACTGGCTCTGTACTTCATTAAAGCTGGAATCCCAGATGGTGTGGGGACGTGACAGGTACTGGAAGTGATGTGAAAGATGAGGGCTGAAGGCACATGTGAGACCCATTCTTGACAGCGTGCAGAATATCACCAAAGCAAATCCTCCTGTCCTGTCAAATCCCAGTGGGGGGCCCAAACAGGACTGTGGAGTCTGTTTTAATCTGTGGACTAAACTAAGCACTGTGCTTGAGAATGTTAGTTTCCAACCCAACAAATTAGTATCAACAAGCAGGAATGATTATTATAATGACTCAGTCCTACGTTTTTTCCCTTCCACACTAAAGTGAGACTTGAGGCCTCTTTTTCATGTACTGATAGCATACACTTGATGCCAGACTTTAAAGAGAGCATGTATACTCAAGGCAGCCATTAAGGCCCTGTTTCCAAAAGTGTCAAGTATAATGCTCTATGCAAAGTGCTGAGAAAGTGAGGATTGCCTTAGGAGTGTGCCTGTAGATACTGCAAAATAACTGACCTGCCTTGGTGAACTGGGACAGCACAGAACGTTTTTGCATTCAAAAGATTTGAATCTAGAAGTGCTTAAAGACTCGTGCAACCAAAAGAACTGCATGGATCAGAATGGAGCAGAACTTCACTCATCTGCATGTTTAGTTTGCAGATTACCTCTATGACATGCCATTGTTCCTAACTCTTGCCTTGCGAGGAATCTTCACCTGGGGTGGTCTCATGTGCATTTTTTTCCTAAGACTTGTTGTTTGCTCCTTCGGAACAATCATATGCTTATCGTCTCCTTTTGACACGATGCCTGGGCCTCTCTGCAGAACACTTGGAACAGCTGATGACATGGTGGTTGTTTCCCTTCTTTTCATTTGTGTGATAAACATTTGTCAGCAAATTGCAACAAACGGGGTAAATATGGCAAGGTCTGCAGCTCAGAGCATGCTGTCAGAATCCTGAGTGACTCAAACTTTGATTTCTCAGTCAAAATCAAACAGTGACAGGCTTCTCCTCCATTTGGGGCAGCATGTGATGGATTTGTCATTCTGCTGTAAAGACTGAAGCAGGACTCAAGTGATATTTGGCATGGCGAAGTGAATCGATGTGCAATTGCTTAGAAGGCTGTGCCATTGTGTATTTACTATACTCTTTTATGCTTTATGTATCTCCAACTTATCCTCATACAAAGTGCCTGAATTGAAAATGCCTAAGCCTATCAACAGGACCTAAAATTACAATGCCAGTCAACTTACAGTTGAGATTTTTAGAACTTTTAAGTTTTGACATTCCATGTCTTGGTTCAGTTTGAATACAATTTAATTTGAGAATTTAGCAAACTGCTGTTTGCCAGGTCTCAAGTAACACAAGTAATGTTAGATAATACCTCTGCAAAATCTTGTGTTGGTTCTTTTTGCTATCACAGCTGATTACATATCCAATGGAATACAGATTTTTACAGCTCTGCTATGAGTACAGTCCTGATTCTAATATTGGACAATATGAACCTGATAGTAATACTGGCTTGGAGCAAAAATGCAACTGTAAAATGTAAGTATTACATGGGGAGAATGGCATATAAGGATCATGCAAGAAGTGTAGGCAAATCTCTGTGTAAGTCTTTTGTCTAAACCTACACAAAGTGTACAGCTTTGTGAACTCTGTTCTCTTAAGCTTTAACAAAGTTAGTATGAATGGTTGTTTCCTTTGTGGACTCCATACACTCCTTGTGTTTTCCTTGCAAGTCTTGGTACTACTTTAGGGAGAGATAAAGGCTACATTTCTGATGATAAAGAAGTTTATGGAAAATCTGCTGAAGTTGCTGTGTGTGTTGAGTGTGACAAGTTAAAAATGCTGGTAAAGTGCCAGACAAACCTAAGCATCTGTCACTGTACAATCTGTACATTTGTTATGTATTTGGAGTCAGTGAACTTCGTTTTTACATATGAGTTGTATATTAAAATTGATATGTTAAAATATATGAATATTTATTGTTCACAATACACTGGTCTCCAACAGTTTTTTTTCTTTTTACACATTTTCAATTGACATATTTTATTGTACCCTTTACTGTATGCTATGATATAGCAGTATGTCACAGTTATTCTCTTGCTTGTTAGACTCTTCTTGTTATGATGGTTTTCTTCATTTTATTCCCATCAACTTTCATTGTCTTTAATTATGTCCCTGAACTTATAAAGCTGTCTCTCTTAACAATGGGTACTTTGGAAATGGCAACAATTGCTTTTCCATGAAGTATAAGGCAGGAAGTGCATTGTTTCTTTAAAAAAAATTCCCAGATGTTTTTCAGTGCTGACTACAAACATGTAAACCCAGAAACCATTATTTTCCAAGTTCTCCAAGTGTAGTTTTGTTATTGTCTAACTTCTGTTTGCATTTACTGGGAATAAAAGCCTATGCCAATAGAAAACAGTGGCTTTGCTATCAAGTGAAGTGTATAAGGATGGAGTCCATTTTTATGAATGTTCACTCTGTGGAATGGGCTTGTAAGTTGTTTCTGTGGCATAATAAAGGCTCACCGTGAGAGTCACAAACCGCAGTCTGGAGAAAAGAAGGGCTCTCATTAGTGACCTATAACAGAGTTACAGCCCCCAAACAGAACAACATCTTTTATTAAGAAGTAAAAGACAAAGGGCAGAGAAAGAATTGCTGAGAATCTCACTGAAGGCCCTGGCAGTGTTTGGGTCTTGCAAGATCAAAACAGTATTCTCTGAGGTGAAATGTTTCTGCAGTGTACAAATAGAGCATCCAGCCCCTCTACTTCCATGGCCAGCCGTGCCGTGAGCTGATGTTGGGAGCCCTGCAGCTTCCTGTAGGAATAACTGTCCAGCACAGCATTTAAAATCACCTGAAACAAAGTGAAAGCCTCTTGTTGACCAGGATTGGCCAGCAGGAAGCCAGGAGGATGTCCAGGCACAAAGGCAAGTCTAAAGAAGGAAAACCTCTCTCTCCCTCTGCATTCTCTGTACCTGCTGTCACTGGGCTTAGCTCTGTGCCTGTGAGTGTACAGATACACAGGTTTTGAGCTGAGCCTGTGTGAAGCAACGTGGTAAGAACAGGCATGGAGGCATGGAGAGCTGGACCGTTGCAGGACTGAGGGCCAAGATGCAGCTGGCAGGGTGGAAGGAATGCTCCTGCATTATGAACATGTTTGCAGCAACTCTGCACAGCCTCATCCTTCAGTACCAACAGTGGGCTGGCTCACATCTGCACAGAGATTCACGTGCACTGAGAGCAAGTTACTTGCAAGAGACAAAATGGCTCAAATTATCAATAGCAAAACCACTACACTGCAAGAATTGAGACAGAAAAAAAGAGCAGGAAACAAGAAAACAGAAGGAACGACTGCACAGCTGCAAAAACAATGTCCAAGTATGAGCCACTGATTATATACTATAATCAGAGTAAAAAAAATACGAAACAGAACATTCCAATGGAAATGATGCCTCAGCTGTAGCTGTAGCAGGCCCTACAAGGACCACGTGTGCAATACCTGTGCAAAGCACAGCACAGGGATTCAGATCCACTCAGGTCAGCGGCGCTGCTCCTCGTGCTGCTCTGCGAGGCCGCCTGCAAGCAGCAGCACTGCAGTATCCACAGCTGGCTCTGATTCTGCATACTGCCATTGTGCCTGGTGTGCATGGATGACAGGTAAAAAACACCCAGTACTTCACAGTGAATTGAGTGCATTTTATTTCCCCTTAACAACAAAAATGGACATTTCAAATGATAAAACTGTATTTTTACAATGGACAGTGCAGTAAGATGAATTTACCCTCATCGTAGGCATTTATCCCTGCCGTTCCCAGAGGATGCCACTGGATTAGGAGCTTTTCATGATGGAGCGATACTCCCTCTGATGTTCCACAAGTTTCAAAAATACTTTGTATTTCTTGTCATAGAATCTGTATAAGCAAGTTAATTTCAGCAAAACTTGAGATTTTAAGATTTAAATCCTTTGTGATATACATACTTAGCATCAAAGAAGCTCTGACTCTAATAACAAGTTTGACTCGGGTGAGTCCTGCATACTGCCAGAGCAGTTTCCACCCAACGAGTGACTCCAAGTTAGAACCGTACACTTGGTTTCCCCGCAGCCGCCTCTGATTTTCAGTTCTCCCGGAGCCCCTCCAGACGCTCCCAGCCCCGGCCGTGCCACCAGGGGGTGCCCGCGCCCCTCCGCCCAGCGCCGTTCTGAGCCCGGGCTCCGAGCTGCCAGCGCTGCGGGGCTCAGCCGGTCAGGCGCTCGCTGAAGCTCAGCTTGCACCGTCCCAGCCTGCCGGCACCTCCCCAGCAGTTCAGCTCATCTCTCGCGCTGCGAGTGGCATCCGCGAGTGGCAAGCTGCGGGCATGGGCAGATATCTATAGGGTAAGGGGCTTCCTTGGAGTAGATTACCACATTCACCCGTGCTGAAGAGTTGGGTGCCGTGTGATATTTAAAAACCGGGGGTCATAAATGCTAATGCATTCAAGCAGGACTAGAACGAGAGAGCGCAACTTAGTCTCAGGTAAATTCTCGTAGGTGAACACACAAACATCAGGATTACCTTTGATGCTCATGGTTTGGTCGTACGACTCGCCCGATTTTTCCCATTTTTGCCATGGCCTCCTAGTAAAAGACAAACACAAGCTGGAAAAGCCTGTTTTGATTTAAAATACTTTTTGACAAGAACAAGATGTTTCAAAACCAATCGGAACATTACTGATGTATTTTGTTTCGACTGAACAGGCCAGATGGCTTAAAATATGTTCAATCCCATAATATAGTAGTCATGAGAACAAAGTACTGCAGACCTCTCAGTAAACCAAAATCTGTTCCTCTTTCTTACTGAGAGTCTGAGGCAGAACAGACTTATCTTTTATTATTTACACTAACCAAAGGAAATGTTAAACACTGCATCCCTGGAGGGGAAATTTCTCAAATAAAACGATACATTACACGAGATCTCTTAATCATATTTCTAAAATATCAATTCCCTGCCGTAAGGAAGGACTTGAGAGTGCTTCAGAAGCTCAATAAATCTTGCAAAGTTCTGCCCTCGCATTTCAAGATAAAGGTGTCAGAAACAGATTTTGAACCTAATCCGCTTTTGGCCAAAATAAAGACAGAGGAAGGGATGGATCCCTTTGGAAGAAGTCTCTGGGACAGTTGTGTGCAGATGGGAGAGGACGACCAAGTTGTTTGGTTTCTTTCCCAATCTCTGAGATTCTGATTTTCTATCGATTTTCCTGAGCAGTTCCGCTGGCATGAGACTGACCACCCATGTGAGCATGGAGCCAAGCTCAAGCTCAAGCTCTTGAACAGAAGAGAAGGCAGCAGGCTATTTTAATTGGAATTTCTTCCACAAGAAGCATTAGAGCAGAAGTTTTCAGATGGAAAGGCATTAAACATAAAATATCAGGATTCAAGAAACAGTGACTGATGAAATCTCTATCAGAACTCATAGTTTCTAGCAGGACTTTAAGTCCATTTTAATGTTAGTGCCTAAAGCACAACACTGAGAAATTCTCAGAGACTTCTGGATGACAGCCAGCTTGTGCCAAGCTGCTTCTGCTGGAAGCCACCTCCTCAAATGCTACCACCATATTTTTAGAAGGGTTGGATGATTTTATAGCCTGTTTGCTGTAGTGAAATCTCTGCTTTCCACTAATCCAGCATTTTACAGCTGAGGAACTCACACGGCTTCACTATGTGGATGAGCAATGTAAGCACAGTTTCATCAACTCATAACAAGCAGGAAGGTTCTGAAGACAAGCAAGTGACCAGCAGACCCTACATCTTCTGGTTTCTGATTTCCACTGTGTTAAAGAAATGTGATCATGAACTAACTGCCAGGATGCACGTGGCTTGCCCATGAAGCCAGCAGCTACCCTGTTTCCATGTGCAGCGGTGTTTGGCCAGCAAGGCACGCAGTGCCTGGGATGCCATGTGTTTGCCAGAACTGCAGGCAGTCCCTATCCACCATTACTGTCGTGTTCTGGGTGTGTTTGCTTTGTCCTTCAGCATCAACAAATCCTTTCATACTGCCTATCAAAATGCGCAACACATACTTTCTACTTTTGTCAACTTCAGGAGATTAAATACTGGTTGAAGTCACAGTTCTACCAAAGCAAGACACTGCCAGTGATGGTGGTCAGCATTTTACTCTGATAAAACAGCAGAGGGGTGTTTTGGTGCACTGATATGCCTATACTCTTTCATGCATGCAGAAGTTGGTTGTATTTTGACTCCCTAAGAAACACACTTGAAGTAACACTTCCAGTGAGATAGTGTGTTCTCTTCTCTGGAACACATGAATCTGCTGGCACAGTGATTCTGCTCACCAGCCAGATTAAAATGCAGACACAGAAAGGCTGATATATTTCCCAGTAAGAGAAATGAGTGCTTAATTCTCTGT